CCCGCGTATTAAAACACTGCTTCCCTTTCCGAGGCGAGCTGCTTTAATTCTCCCCCTGGTTCAGGTTTCCACTTGCATGCGCTCATTGAATTCATTATTTTAAAAGGTTTTGGGTATTATTTATAGTGTTTTGGAAAAAAAGAGATAAAAACTGTTTACGTTGCATAATGAGAGCTCTTGTGAAAAGGTCGCAGTCCCCCGGCAACAGCAGGTTTTAGATGAGAAAACAAGAAGTTTGCAGTTTGAGTCACAAAAGCTCTTCGTAATGTGCAGGTGGAGCAGGTGACGTCACAGGTGCACACGCAGGTGCACACGCAGGTGCACACGCACAGGACACATGTCAGGCCAATCCGTATCGCCTAAAGCGATTCCTTTTTCGATGGTAGGGGAATCGTATGCCTATAATGGGTAATGATGAGATGTATTAGCAATAAGAGCTAATGCCGTGCTGTGAGCTCACTTTAAATAACCCCCTCCAGTGGGATAGAAACAGCTCTACAGTGCACACACCTCCTCCCTCCAACTCGCCCCCCCCCCTCCCTCGCTGCCTCTTTCAGCTCACTGAACTGAGTGAAATGTCTTTCCGACTAAATGATTTTTTTTTTCTGCACGGTGGGAACGTTGCCATGGAGACAGCAACCCCCCCCACCCCCCATCCCAGTTTTTCTCTCAAAAGTCTCTACAGCGTTAACTGGTGTGTGTGGTCACGTGTGTGTGTGTGTGTTTCTGTGTGTTTTTGCTCCTCTTGGGCTGTTCGTATGCTGCCGGTGCCCCGTGATGAGTGTGTCTATATACGGACACATCCTCCTCCTCCTCCTCCTCCACCTCCTCCCGTCTCCCCTTCCACACACATCCGGCGTGTAGCGATCCCCTTTCTTCTCCCAAGGTTTTCCCATTCATTTCCACCTCCTCTTCCTCCTCCTCCTCCTCCTCTGGCATTCTCCCGCTCTTCATCCTCCTTCATTTGTTTAATCCTTTCCAACCCCTCGTCCCTTTACTGGAGAGATGCTGGAGAGATGACGAGTGTGACTGTTAATATGTATATGAAAGGAGACAGTTTAGAAACAGGCAGATAGAGCAAAGCACGGAGGGCAGGCCGCAGCGTGCTCCATTTTGCGTTTAGGCAAAACGCGGCCACAATAAAGAATTCATGACAAAGTGGCTGAATAATTACACGCGACTTAATGCACAGCAGCAATTCAGAGAGAGCTTAGTTCTGAAGAAGAAGAAGAAAAAGTTGCGTTCCGGCTGCTCGTGTCCAGGTAGAGCGTCGTACCTCCAGAGGCCGAGTCGAATATAGACGGCGTACATTGGAAATGCCCAGGGCCTGGCGAGGTATAAATATAGCACACTGCCTGCTGCGTGTGACAGTAGCTTCAGCGCCTCCTCTGCCTACTCGTCCCGTGGATGCAAAGAAAGTCAGAAACACGACGCGGGATGATACATTTCATTTATTTCCATGATGGTGGCTTCAGCCATTTTGTTATTTACACTTTCGCCGACTTCCGCCACCCGGGTTGGGTTGTCCCGACTCAACCCCCCCCCCCCCCCCCCTCCCCATTCAAGTTCTCAGCCTTAACCAATAAAAAAGTAAACCTCTTGAATAAATTAAATGTATATAAAAACAATTGAAAATCATACCAATACCAATTCAAGAAAGATAAATACAGCATAAACAATGTTTTTTCATCATGGTTGTTTTTGACCCCCAGAGATAAAGAATTGCCGGGTCTCCATTTAGTCGTCATTAGTAGGATTAGTATGAAGTTCATTGTCAGATTTGCTCAAAGCATCACTTCTATAATTTTTCATTGCATCAAGTTGACATCATTCATGTTAATATAAGCATGCAAACATGTTTCCCCATGACCATTCAGAACCGCACCAACACGACAAGGCAGCGAGGGAGAGACGGGAGAGACGGGAGGAGGGAGGAGGGCAAGATGGAGGGACGTGAGATGGTAGCGGGAGCAACGGAAGAAAGCCGATGGAGAAATGGATAGGTGAGGGGGAAGGTAGAGGGTGTGTGTAGGGGGGGGGGGGGGGGGGGGATTGGGGGCTTGGAGGGGGGGGAATCGCTGCAGGACAAAACGACAGAATGAGTAATCAGAGAGTAATTAGACAGACAGAGAGGGAGGGGGGGGGAGGGGTGACAGTAAAGGAATGTGCTGGTTCCACTATGAGCTCTGCAATCTATCACCAGACAGTAACACGGGGACTAAATAGGGGTAGACACCAGCAGAGAGACAGAGACAGAGACAGAGAGACGGAGACAGAGAGAATTATGGGGCCTTGAGACCGATGGATCAATACCATGTCCACCTATGCAAACTGGTCGATAATCCCCCAGCTGACAAACCGCACAGAACACCTGCAGGCATGAGGCGGGATGTGTCGCCTCCCCTCTACCTGCCGGTGGGTGAGACAAACCAGACCCCCCCCCCTCCCCCTCCCCCCTCTCTCCGTCCCGATGCGTGCGAGACAGATGGCAACGACACAACGATACAAGAAGCTGCAGCGCGGCGCCGTACCGCTGCTTTGCTGATGTGACAGTAGTGGTCGTAGTAGCGGGGACAGACGAGTCGCTTTGTCAGTCCCACTCGCTTTTTTTCTCACAAACGCCTCCTCCTTTCTGTCTTCTGCTTTAAGAGGCGTCTAAATTCGTCGTTATCTGCAGGCCGCGACAAATTATTCCTTCACGTGAACACGCCCCCAACAATTCCAATTTTCCATCGCTGTGCCATCTTTTTTTTTATTGTGTTTCTTTTCAGACACACAGTACACAAATAAGAGAAAGAAGTACACGATCAACACAGTTACTTACATCAGGCAAAGGGTCAGAGAGGAGAAGAGGGTCGAATGATTGGCAGCTGATTTCTGATTACCACGTAGACAATACCAACTAATGTCCATGGAAGACAGCGTTTCCCAACCTAGTGCAATGAGGCACCTATAGTACACACACACACACGCACACACACACGCACACACGTACAATGGCTCCTTGTAAAGACACGGGACAGTAGACACATTTGGCTGCGAGACAAGGGTTTCTGTGTCCGTGGATGCCGGGATTTGGGGAGCGAGGGAGGCAAAGACAGAAAGGGGACGAGGCCGCGAGTGAGCACAGAAACGTGTCACACACACACACACACACACACACAGACACACGAGGTCACAGTGACACACGGGCATACACACACAGGCGCACACAAATACAAAACAAACACGCCCACCAAACACGGAAACACACTAATAAAAGCAATACGGACACGTGTGTCCCTCTAAAGTCTTGTCGGGGACAAGAAGTGGACTTGAAGATAAATCTTTTTTTTTTTTTTAGTTGAAGCCGGACGATGACCTCATCGAGGAGAGAAAAGAAAAAAAACAGTCCTGCGATGATAGAAAAACAAAACAGTGGTGAAATCCTTCCCCGTGGGATACATCCTGTGGCGAGACGCTGGTCCGATCCGACAGGCGGGATCCGCTCAACCTGCGCAGTCCTTCAGTGGGAAACGTCTGCCGGTCCGGCCAGAAAGCGTCAAGCGGTCACAGCGTCGCATCCTCAGTGGGCCGTAGAAATGTAATGAATCCACTCCGGCTGATGGATGTGTGTGTGTGTGTGTGTGTGTGTGTCGTACCACAGCAAACAACAACGCAAAAATGCTGATGGGAAATGTGCACGTCGTGATGATGGTGACGGAAAGCACGAGGAGGAGGTACACACTGCGAGGTTGCGTAACATGCTTAAAACGATGAGGCTGTCCTCGTTTTTTTTGGCTCCTCTGACATCAATAAAACCCACGTGGCGCTTAAGTCTGAAACAAGGGGATGCGGAGCCTGGAGAAGGCGTCCAAAAATGTCCTTGTCCCGCTAGGAACCGCGTGAGACGTGTTCCCACACAGTGCGGCCGATGCTGGACACCAACGTTGCAAAGAAAAATATCGACATAGTGATTTTCTTCTTTTATAGTCTGTACACAGGCATGAACCTTTGGTCCGGGTTGGAATGGCCATTCTGGGATGGCTTTCTTTTTTCTTTTTTTTTCGTCAGATCACGTGCCTCCTAGATGAAACACTACGCTAACCTGAAGCACACATCAACTACGCACATACTGTAAACTGCTGTGTGTGTGTGTGTGTGTGTGTGTGTGTGTGTCGGCCGCCTTGCCTGGATCCCAAATTTACAGTTGCGGATCAGTCCTGCCGCACCGTGTGTTTGTCGCGTAGCTCGTGGTGGATACTGTTTGTTCTGCGCAGGACGGGATTCATTAGCAGGAGCGAAACAGCACGAGCACTTGAGCACAAGCCGCGTCTCCGCGTCCCTCTTTCTTTGATGGAGAGAATTATTCACAGATGACAGGAAAGAAAAAGGAAAGTCTGGAGCTGGAGAGATGATAATGACCTGAGGAAAGGGGATAAGGAAGGAGAGGCAGATTAAGCAAGAGAGACCGCGTGAGGCGAGAGAATATATAAACACTATGCAGTAATGTAAGTGTGGTGGGGGGGGGGGGGGGGGATGCCTTACATAACCCGGGACATCCAGAATAAACAGATGCTTCTGCTTTAAAGCTCCCCCCCTTATCACATGGGTCGTGCCTTAAAAGGCTCCCCATATAAATCTGACTAAAAAGTTTCTCGTGCCCAGTGGGTGGATGTAATACACGCCAGGGCCGGTCCGGATGTGTGAAAAAATATATATATATATATATATATATTCTGCGTGGAATCGAAACAAGGAGAGGCTCACAGCTTTTATCGGAGTGAGGACTGTCCCCCACGATGTTCTGCTTCCGGGAAGAAGCGCGACTCCTCTTCGACACCAACGTAACAATTGCTTTTTCTTGCAGGGAAATACGGAATACAAGGTTGTTGTTTTTACTTAGCGGAAAACTCCAAATGCCTTGTCCTAAATACGCAACTCGACCTTCTTACCCTCTGATGAACATATCCAGCGGTATAAGATATTTTGATGGATATTTTACCAGGCGCAACAGTTACTACAAAAAAATTGTTTTAGTTGTCAGGCCCAGAACAAACTAAATAATTGAAAGTAACAGTAGGTGGAGGAGACCTATGAATACACACACACACACACACACACACACACAGTCCTGTGCTCATTACCTCCACAAGTTGATGCCAGTGCTCTATTGGTTTGCGTGGATTCGCCAGCATGGCCGTCCAGTGCTCCCTCCCTGGACCGTCGGCTTCGCTGCCCACCCGACACATCCCTATAACCTCGTTATGACCGATGCTGGCGGCCGGCGAGGGATGAGAGCAAGGAGACGAGAGACCGAGAGCGAAAGAAGCAGGCAGAGAGACCGAGGAAGCAGGGTAGGAATAAAGCATGGGGAGAGAGAGGGAGAGAGAGAGAGAGAGGGAGACAGGGTAAGAAACAGACACTAGTCTCATTTAGCACCACCGAGTACCAGGAAAAGCTGCCGAGGAACGATGTTGAATAGCAGCTCACAGAGCTTGATGTCAGCGGGGAAGCAGGCGCGAGCGCCGCACACTCACAAAGGCACACGCCTATGGAGATGCCAAATGGAGGGCCGACTGCATAATGGGGAGGCGGTACGATCCGCACACAAACACAATCAACCAGCCAAGTGTCGCTGAAAGCGTCAGACAGACAAACACTGGCAGGGTTACACTTTCTGCCGCCACAATTAGCATAAATCATGCTTATTCATGAGGCGGGTTTGTCTGTGCAACACAGGGAGCGTCCACCAGGAGTCTGACTCATGGTGAAACCCCAAAAGCGGGAGCAAAAACAGCAGTACCGATGAGCTTAGCCTTCGTCCTCTCAACACAGCGACACATCGGCATGCTCACCAGTCGTAGTCCATCACGGCGATGATGATGGATACGCTTTCTATGTTTTCGTTGGGAATGTCAAACACCAGCGCCTCGTTGTACGTGGGGTTCAGCGTGTTCTTCTTAATAGAGGTCTTCCTCTTTTTTAGCCTTCGCCCGTCGCAGATCAAAGAGGCCTTGACGTACGGGTCTGGAGGAGAGACGGGAGGGGTGATGGATTAGAGAGGTGCGGGAAAATAAGAGAGAGGAAGGGAGATGGAAAGGTGATGAGAAGATGCGAAGAAGAAAGCGAGGGAGAGGAAGCAGAGAGAAGAAGATGAGCGGAGACTCAAACGCTGCTAAGTATTGCGCTCACAGGTATCTGCGTCTGTAGCACATAAAAGGCATGAAAATCAAGTCACCTTGGAAAAGCTGGATTAGGAACACAAAGGGAGAAAAGCAGCACAAGTTGAATCACTTCGCCCGTTCAACACGTGGCGCTCGGTGGCAGCATCAGGGGGAAACACACACACGCACACTTCTCCATTTTAAGCTGCTTTTTAAAGCATCTTTAAAGCAAAGCAATTATCCGGGGATCACTGTGGCAATAATTACGCCGTCATTATCATTTGAGATCTCATTTAATCTGAGAGGGCATTGCCGTTGCCATCATGTCTCGAAGTATAGGGTAGCCAAAGGATCAAACCCTTTATAAAACCTTCGTTAATTCAACATTAGCATCGGCCTCACGGGTAAAACTGTTTTTTTTCTATTCTGTTTTTCTGTCTATTCACAGCAGACTTAATTGGTGCTGCACCTGCAGCTGACTTCCATCGCAACAGAACACATCGGGACACATTTGCACAGGTTGTTGTGTTTGTAAGTAATAAACTTTATTGCTTTGGGTAGTACATTCATTATGCATGACTCCACTTGCATGTGTTGAAGGATAAATCTAACTTCTGAATTCCAAACAAGAAGCAATCAATGTGTCGTTCCTCGATGCACTTCGTTAATTCATTTCAGCCAGGGATTTATTGTGTTCTGAAAACGCTCTTTCTGTAGAGCCTTTTTTCTCTTGTTGTTGCTTTTACAACAAGAGACGGGCGCGTTCCTCCGTCAGAACACAACATACTGTGTCCTGCAGCCGCATTGCATTCTGGTCTGGTGATTTTGTTCTAGGTGGAGAAACCTCTGCTTCTTTATTTGGTGCTTAATAGCATGTACATTATTTATTTATTTTTCTCAAAAAAAGGGACCCCTTGTTTACTTGTTATGTTTACATATGAAAAATGCACCTTCTGCCTGTCGGGCCGATCCGACTAAGACATAAACGTGAAATAAAGTCCAGGAATCCACATGCATCACCGGTAGACAGCTGTTCTCTGTCATCTCCTTTTAATAGCTTCACAGCTTTTTCCGATTGCTCGCCGGAGGTCTCGCAGCGGCTCCATGTGAGATGTGCGTGCGTGTGTGTGTGTGTGTGTGTGTGTGTGTGTGTGTGTGTCCTCTACCTGAGAAGCCAGTCAGGTCCATGGCTTTGAGGTTGGTGGCCTTGATGACTGTAGCAGTAAGTCGTCCTGCAGTGGGCAGGTAACACAGCGAGAAATTAAGCTCCCCGAGATCCGCCTTCTCCTGTAGGTCCCCACGCACACAGACACACACAGACACACACACACACAGACACACAGACAGACACACACAGACAGACAGACAGGGGATCAGAAATGGAGCCAGGACTCTGTGATCACGCACACATCAGAAACAGTCAGGTGTCCTTCACCGGGTTTTGGCGCTTCGAGGTCAGAGAGGGAGTTGCATGTGTGGAGCATCCTAATGCGTACGAGTGCCGACCATCACCGTAAATTAATCATATGCCAATCTGTCGATGTCCTCGAGTGGAGGAGAGTGTTAAGTAGAGGTGACGATCCCCCCCCTCTCCTCCCTTGCTGATCTTCTCGCTGCCTGTGGTGTCCGTGGCACCACAGTAACGACATGGTAAGTATTCGGCTCACACTGTGACAAGATGACTCCCTCAGTGGCTTCAAACCTCAGCAATCATTACTTCTATGGGTAAAACATTGAAATGTGCTCAGAGGTTGATGCTTTAAACTGATTAAACTAATACAATATCCATGCCAAAACAACTCAAGACGCTGCCTGGTCTCATTTACAAATGGCGTTCTATGAATATTTCATATAAATGTGCTCGGGCACTGCAGGATGAAAAGATGTGGCCGGCGTTTCCAGTAATCTGTCTATGTGAGCGGTGCTTTTGCATTACCAGACACCGAACGAATCTATACTGCAGACCACTTCCAGTCTCAAGTACACATGTTCTATTTCTCCTATTTGATCCTCGGGGAGTACTGCGCGTGCTCCTCGGAGTGATGTGAGAGTAGAGTCCATACTAATTTGACTGCTGTAAGAAACAGAAGACTTAATCACCACGAGATACTTCATCTTGAAGATGTAATTAGTTATGAATGGGTGGCATTGGCATCTATCTGGATTCACATGGTAAGTCTTATTTCTACTGAGCCCGGCAGTGGGCGTGAGGAGAGACAAACAAATCAACATCACGACTTACTTAGAATGATTGCATTTAATTAAACCCATCCCACGACTTTTTGGATTATTCTGTGGCCACTAATTATATAACTACATAATTTGGTCAGTGTGCGAAACAAATTCATCCTTTGCAGCCGCCACCTGCTTAATGCGCGCGTCCCCTGCTGTGGATAGATGCTCTTACTTTGCAATTTACGAGGAGCTTGTGGATTATATGGTTAGAAATATGCTGACTTCGGGGATATTATTGACTTAATGAATTGGAAAGCCCTGGAAAACTTCAGGGTTATCGCCGGACTTGAATCCAATTCTCAAGGGCGGCTCTGTTGTGCTGTCTCAATCGGTATACTTCTTTGCACACAAGTGAACCAAAGTAGTGGGAAGGATTTAAGTAGATTGAAGCAAATGAGATCTTGTGCGCAGGATTTAACCAAAACGAAACCTTGATAGTTATAATTTCTTTGGTCACTTTTCAGATCTATAAAACTGGAACCCATCTGAACTTCTTTCTCTATCTCACACAAATATTTTTCTACAGAGTGTTGATTAGTGTTTAAGTGTTTTTGATAGTTGAAGTTATTCATTTGGTTGTTTTTTAATTTGGGGTCAACACAGTATGTGTGTCTGTCGTCGTATATACACTGTATCTGAGAATTTAATATCATTTATAATCTGACCAGCTGTTAAATGAGAAGAAGTTTTACCAATTTGTTCAACATTAGCATATCCACATATTTGTGTTATTTAATAATCAGGTTTTTGTATTATATGTATCCCATGTGTGCACAAAAATCCATTGTGTTAATATCTACCATCTGCCAAACGAACTTTATAATTCTTTATTTTCCATTAAAATGTTCTATTTCATCAACAGTAACTCGATTGGTTTTTGACGATCAATGCAGGAACTTCTATTTGAAATCTAGCATTGAAAGTGTCACTCGTTTCATGTTTGATAAGCTCAGTCCCTGATTCTATTTTATTCTCCGCTGCTCACGAACATAATTTAATATTGCCACGAGGCCGCTCCAAATTCCATCTAATCTAATCCTCCTTCAGAAGAACGTGATTTCCTTTCCCCCCTTTTGTCCCTACCGCCGTGCCCTCCACGATGTCCCTCCACACGGGTTTGTCTCCGCTGCCCTCGCTGAAGTCCAGCAGGTTGTCCACCACCACCTGGCCGATCAGGTCGTGTCGGGAGAAGCGGTCGAAGTCGTACACGGAGAAGTGCAGCTTCCTGGAATGTAGCTCGTTCAGCGGCACGCCGAACTGGAACGTCTCGTTGAACACGGGGTTCAAGGTCTTCCTGTGGACCTGAGGGAGAGTTCAGCGACGCGTACTTTAAATACAACAAACTGCACTCAGTATTCAGTCCACGGCGCCGATTGGCACAGGGGAATTAGTAAAGGAACAAGGAAGGAAAAAAACAAAACCCTGCTGTATAAATACAGTGGAAAGGTTGCTAACATGCTCTTGCTGCTGTGGAATAAATCTCTTTCAATTTCAGGTATTTATTTATTTCCATTACAGTCTTTGACATTTGTAAAAAAAAAATAAGATCTTGAATATTGTGGAAGGCTTTGATTTGACCTTGAGGAACATAATTGACCTCTACCACACCGTCGAACCTTCGAAAGCAGTGAAGCCCCCTATAATTAAAAAAAACAACATAAAAGTATGTTGAAAGGTAAAACTCACAGGCTTTCTTTCATTAAAATGTTTACTATTAGTAACTGCTTTTATTCCAATCTGGTATTTTGACTTTTTCATCCGTCACCTCTATCATTTTAAATCTGAAATCGCCGTCTGACAATTCATTTCCCACTCATCAAGTTTTAACACTTTCCAGACGGCACTTCTTATTTTTATTTTTTTTTCTCCCTATTTGTTGATTAACTGGTGGGATTTATTTGCTATGAAAGCATTTGATAGAAAGGCTGTCATGCAATGAGCTGGTGATAATTAAAATGTGACACGCACTCAATTTTCCAATTTTAACTTTTGTCACTGCGCGAGTGGCTCTGTCACTCCGGCTTATTAGCACTTGATGATGACTTGTTAGCTTTGGATTAAACACGCGGTTGATGGAGACAATGTGCCTTTGCAAACCGGAAACACAAAAGCTCCAACATGAATCAGGTAATGTCTGTTCCCCCTTTTTGAATTAGTCGAATAAAAAGCGTGACAAAATATGAGAGGGATGAAAATTCCATGCAACTGAAATGAAGGAATCATCTACGCTCCAAACAAAAGGGGAGGAGTATTATGCAAATGAGCGGAGCATCCACCCTTTACAATGGCTGAAGGGCCTTTTGTGATCTACAGGAGACAGTCGCACAAAGGGGGGGGGAGACCAGAGGAGACACACTTCAAACTGTTACAGCTTCATTGTCACCGAAAGCTTTGTAAATTTGTCAAACGCTGCAAGAGAAACACCGGGGATATTTAGGGATTTAAAACCAAGATCTACAACTCACAAGGCTTCCGAGGTCGTAAATCTTGATGGAATAAATTACAGAGGAGGATTTTCTGAAGGCCGAGAGAACATTTCCCGGTACAGAACGTCCCGAAATGTCCTCAAATATCGAATCTACCGTCCTCAAACACCAGAATAACACACGGGAGTAGATTAGCGGGGCCCTGTGATCGTCTGCAGCACACGATATTGAATAAATAATGCCCCAGATTAAACGACATTAGTGAAATCGACATGCAAACAAACGTCGTGGGAGTCACCTTGGTCTGGTACTTCTTCTTCCTGTCTGGCAGTAGGTAGATCTTCACGTATGGGTCAGAGAAACCATTGGCATCCTTCGCCGGCAGGTCCAGAGCTTTCAGGATCTTCACCACCAGTTGCTCCGTACTGACACACACACACACAAAATAACCAAACTCCATTAGACTTTCACATGCTCATAAGAAAGGCGTAAAATCGCAGCGATCGCACAGATTTACACAAATAATCGATGAGGCCCAGACAGGATAAACCATCACACACAAACACACACCTGCAGGCGTTTTACTCACTTACTGGTGTGGGAGGTTCCGTGTCTCTGAGGCTTGGAGCAACCGAAATAGCATGTGCGGCTTCTTGTGTTTCATCCCCGCAGCCGTATCGCTGTTGCACTGTTAGCGGTGTTAAATGTGAGCACGGATGTGCAGCCAATGTCTGGCTCATAACGCAAAAGCCTTTATTCTTTTAAGTTGGGACCATACATGTATGCAAAGCAGCGTGCACACCAAAACCCGACCCACGGCAGAACGATAGTGACCCTCCACTAAGCCACTAAGTGTCGTCAGCTTTCAATATGTAACTTTCTCCAAATATCTCCAAAATATTCAAAAAAATGCAGCCACAACTGACAATTGTTGAATTTGGTATTGCTTATTACCAGCAATGTAAAATACTATATTAGTATGGCTGGTAAGATATAAAACGGTCCAAACACCAAAGTTAATCTGATTACTTTGGTATAAAAAAGAGAAAATGTGAAAAGCTGGGACCAACGGACTGATTTGTATTTTTAAAACTCAAACAACTCATCAAAGCTGTTGCCAGTTAATCCATTTGTTTCTTGAGCGATTTGCAAAGTCATTGTAAATGCAAATATATCATCATCATCATATTATATATTTGGCAAAAGAAGAAAAAGGTTGGATTTGAAAAGTTTCAATTGTTATTTTATCTTTTCTCTAAAAATAGATACCGACTCGCTAATTTGCATGACACACAAATATGCACCGATTAACAATCGCGCGAGCGCACACAGCACGCGTGCCAATGCTGCTAATCACGCACTGTTAATCACGTGTTTAATTAACAGAAGAAGAGGACGGCTCGGAGGCCTTTGATCAGCCCTCATGGGCCCCCCCCCCCCCCCATGTTAACCAGCGCGTCGGGCGGTCAAACAGAAACAGTGACCTTGGAAGTTCTAACATCCTCCGTGTGTACCAATCACCAATGAGACACGCATGTTTACGACGCATCCATTCCGGACACGTGTCTACGTCTGATTAACATCCGATTAAGGCCATGGGATGAACGCGCCCACTGTGTAGTCACATCTGTTGAAGGGAGATGAGATACGGGGCGAGTTGCTGGGCGAAATCACATCATTAGATCTCAGCCAGATAAACGTTTTAACAACAAGAACCGCGACTGATTTAAAAATGTCTCTACAGTCTTTGATTCGACTTTGAGACGTGCTGGTGGTCGCTGTGATAAAGCAGTGTAGCTCATTTGTACACAGATTATGTCAATATAAAAAATGAATTTTCCTCCATTTTTCTAGATTTTTCCTGCCCTCACGTCTCTTATAACCAAACGAGATGTACTTTGAACCCGAATCGAGCTTTTCACTCAACCCACCAGGCAGCGCACGGGGAATGTATTTTTATTACAGCTCAGGGAAAGAGGGAAATTCACGGCCTTATTCCTGGACGACAAAGCCCGGAAGCTAGCTGTTACTCCCACGGAGGAAGTGTGTCAGCTTTTAATGGGATTGTCAATAGAAACGGCTTTCCCAGAGGATCCGCGGGAGATTGACACTGTTGTTCCGACTGCTACGCCCCAACATCTGGGTGTCCCGCATTAACATACAAATCTCACCAGGGCTTCGGTGTTAACACACCTCCACGCGTACCTGCAAACATGCTCCCACCTGCCTTCTTCACCCCTCAGTCACACCTGCTTTTGCACTCCTCTCACTAAAAATACCCCCCTCGAGTGCAGTGAAAGGCGACCGCGGTCCAACACGAATCATCTTGTGACTTTATCAACGGGATGGAAGGCTTAATAAAAAAACACCTCTGTCCTTAATAAAAAACACCTCTCTTGCTAATTCTCTGGATCTGTAACGCACACACAGCCCACACAGTCTGGGGTTATTATGCTTTGACAGGGGCTGCTGTTTAAAGTGCCTCACCATTTATAATGCATGAGTGAAACCGCCACCAGCTCGTGCTCTTTTCTGACCATCAGCACTTTGGCCTGTTGTACTGTTTTTTCGAGGGACTGGCAGAAATGGGGGACTGCCAGCTGAGCCGCAGACGAAGCACCCGGACTCACGGCGTGCAAACGATTAATATACAACATCTCTCGTTACCCATTGCCGTGCTTAAATCCCACAATTTTCAACGTTGGCGGATGATTTCCCCATTTATACCTCAAATTAGTTTTCCTAGTTTTAGTAAGTACGTTTTCCAAAGAAGCAGCAAACCGTCTTTGCGTTTAATAACATCAACGATGGTGGTTCCACTTATACAACGTCCGTACCACATGTGACAGGTTCTCCAATGTGCACTTTTATGACAAGCGTCCACAGAATGCACCAGTATTTATTCATTTAATGCTTTGAGCCGTTTTAGTGAGCACGGATGTACGTGTTGGCTGGCAGGTGCACCACTTTAGTCCAGACTCAAATAACCAGATTGCTGTAAAATATCATTTTTAGCTGTGCTTGGTCTCTCAACCAAAACTCACATAGCGGTTTGCGTGACTTGTATTCCCCTACTCGCAGCACTAGCGATCAGTGTGCAGTCCTTGCTGTGCACAACCTGTTGTTTTGCGCAACAAAACCACTTGGTTAAGAAAATACCAGGGGTCATAAAATAAGTATTAGTTGAGTACTTAAATGACAATACAGTAAAATAAGTCAAAGCTGGCTTTTGGTTTCACAAAACAGCCGTTTCCTCCCTGAATGTCCCGTGTTCATTCACACGATATCACGCGTACCAACCTAAAAAGACAAAACGCCCGTGTGTTTGCTGCGGGAGCCAAACGGGGGGCTCCGCTCAGCGCGGACTCACTTGAAGGCGTAGCGCAGCAGGAAGCTGATCTTGCCGCAGTTGTCGCCCTGTTTGCCTTCGCCCTGGTCGCCCTTGGGCCGGTAAAGCTCCGGTTTGATCTGCCCGATGCTGGTCACCTGCTCCTTCTCCTCGCCGTGGAAGTCAGGACTGGAGAGCTGGTGAGTCATGGGCTTGGGCCTGCGCGGACACGTTAGAGGTCAGTCGGTGAATATGAAGCGAAGAGGGCAGCGCGCGCAGACATTATTACGATGCTAATGTTGTAAAAACACGAGTTATTATCTCTTAAAAGATGTGGAGGGTTCTTTGTGCGTCTCTCCTGGTTTTATAAAATGAAATGCAGCTGCGCTTTGGAAAAAACGCTGAAAGCAGGTGAAAGAAAAGAAACTTAATATAAAAAAAATCCAAGATGAGACCTCGGAAGCCTTCATTTAAAGGCAAGCAAGATTAAAGTCAACAGCGTACAACCAGCACGGCCTTCATCTGTGTGCTCACAAAGTGAAGCCGTCCTTTTAATGTTTTAATAGAAATAACAATACTGACCGGGAGGTGACCTGCTGCTGGGAATGAGCGTTGGGCAGGTCTTTATGGGGCTGGGCTCCAACCTCTGAGTTAGGGACATCTGGAGACGTCTGACTCAGCTTCAGGGTTCCTGACAACACAATCCCCAGTAAATAACACGCCTCTTTTGTTAGAATTTATGTGGGCGTGCTGGTTTCGACGGCTCGGATCAATGCCTTTCAATGCCTTCGATGCCTGTCGGCATCATTGATCGTATTGATTGTTCTGCATTGATTTTGCAGTGACAAAAGGGAAGGAATAAGTAGACATGTTTAGAACAGCAGAACACGAGCCAGCATGACAGGCAAACAACTCAAACATGTGAAAGAAATGCCATAAACCTTTGGCTGTCAACAGGGATCAACTACATGCACCATTTCCTACAGTCAGAATAAAAACCTGCAGTTTGAAGTTATTTGTGAAAATACATTCTCTTCTTAGGTTATTGTGATGAACAGGACAATTCCAACCACTTCCCCCTCGCATACTTTCAGGGAAAGATATCTTAACGCTGGGCGGATCAATGCGTTTTGTGTATCTTTGTGAAGTCTGCCGCTGGCAATTAATTCAATTGCAACTGTTTGGTTATTAAAACATCATAAAACAGTGAGAAATGCTGGCGAATGTAACTTAAATGAATTTGGATATGGAAACGGTTATTAGCCATATTAAACAGAGCTAAAAGAGAAGTGAATATAAGAGTGATATTCAAAATCAAAATGTCAAAATGTGGCAAATTTCTAACTGTGTGTGAGCACATTAGCAATGAATAATTTAGAAGACAGATATGCCGCTGCGCACTGTGCTGTTTTGAATACGGATATAATTGAAACTTCATCTTAAAGTCACAGAATCCTGTGCGAACAGGAGATTAGGCCTGTAACGGGAACAAGTAATATCCCTCTAGTATAGCACACAATGGGAGGAAAAGCTATTTATACAATAATGGCCGGTATTCATCACACTGCTGCAGCCCAGACTCATTATTTTTAGCATATGCAGGTAAAGTTTCAGTATTATATTCAGTACCATGTGCGTGTATTAAAATCTGAAGTTATTGACCCAGTCATTGCTCTCAGTCAGCCTCGCGTTGGTGTCTAATTTCAGTGGACGTGCTCATTTCTCTCACCAGCATTGTTGGGGTAGGAGTCCATGTCCAGGTAGGACGGCTCCTGGGACTCCTGTGGCCCCCCGACCACGCCTCCCACCTCCCCCCTCTCCAACCCCACCAGGTCGGAGAAATGGGGATGGTGCTGTCCCTGCTGTCCCAGCGAGGGGTAGAGCGAGGACGAGGAGTGTCCCTCCTTCCTCTGCAGCAGGGGCGGTAGGAGTGAGGAGCCCCCGGTGCCCCCGAGGCTTCCCACGCCGGCGCTTCCAGGCAGCAGCCCCGAGGTCAGGCTCAGGCCGCCGCCCTCGTTGTCCCTCCATGGCAGCCAGCAGAGCTTCCAGGAGACGAAAAGGGAGACGGAGAGGAGGACAATGCCGCAGAATGTCACAATGACCGACAGCAGACTGACAGAGATCTCTGAAGAGGACCAGGGGAACCGTGGAGGGGAGGGACGAGAAGAGAAAAAAAAGGAGGTGAAAAAGACAATTCAAACAGACGAAAAGAAGCCTTAACTTCATCATTACAAAGTGTGTGTTTGCACAGAAAGAAACAATTTGGTGATTTTAACAACACCAACGAGCAGTGAGGGTGAACTGAGGCCCATTGAGACCACACTGCATTTGCATCCCTAGTCTCACGTCCCTCATATTGAGACAACGTCCCCCATTTAGTTTGGCAAAGCACAGCGGGACAGGCTCTCTTCTAAAAACCTGCTCTTTAAACCAATGGCAGTGAATTAAGCCAGAAAGGACGCCATCAAAGGAGTGTTTTCAATTCTGAGTCGCCACAAAGTCACTCGCCACACGGATTTAGGCAGAATATGATGTAAATTAGCACAAAGAACAGGAAATGCAGGTACGACAAAAAACGGTCTCCCATCGTAGATACAGGTATGCCGCCAAAAATATCAACAGCAAGCCGACAACAATCCACACACACAATCATCATGATAACAGCTAAAACAATCACAGTGAAGGAGGAGGAACCAGCTGTAGGCGTGTACTGATGCAACCATAAAGCTCACGTCCCCCATTCAAATTCTCCTTAAAATGGGTGCACACGTGATGCAGCGGCTGGAGGGGGCGAGGCGGAAACAATTGAGAAAAAAAGAATTGTGTCTAATGTCATCCCGCATTTCCTCGTGGTTATAAGCTTTTTAATCTGTGATCGCTGGAGGAACGTTTTCATGGGGAGGATGGGATTGGAGGTCTGGGGGGGAGGGTGGGGGGGGTATGGGGCTGTAGAGAATGTGTGTGGGGTGAGTGGAGTATGACTCATCCGACTGAAAAACTCTACAGAATATCAGAAAAGCGCAATTTCAGCACCAGACAGCTGGACCGCTCCAGCAGTCGTCTCCGTGAGCAGAAATCACAGTCAACGCGAGCTTCAGAGGCATCACTACTTTTGTAGTTTCCTGTTATGGTTTATAAACGCACAACTGTCAGAGACGATGATACAGGTTTTCACGGATTTAGAAAGCACATTTGTAAATACCTTATAATACTTCCTCTGAGGGATTTTATAAATAGCAGTTCATGAGTGTGAACGCTATCTTGACGGAAGGACCAATCAGAGCCCACGTGAACCATAGGCCCACATCCCTGAACATGGTTATTCATAGATCGTAAGTAGACCGTGAGGACTATTTATGATTCAGTGTGCAGATTTCACGAGCCAAGCCTCTCGCCATCTCGCCGTCCCGAGCGCTGTCCAGATGAGGGCCGGCCATTAACAATGCTTCCCCCCCTCTCTGCGGGCAGGGCGATCATTACCTCGGTGCAATCAGCACTGTTAAATGTTGTCTCTTCAACACACTGACGGACAGGCGTCGAACGCGAGATCCACTCCAAACCTCTTTCTCTTTCACCGGCTCCTCCATATAATCCACTCAAAATACTCCTCGTTCCTAGCTGTCATTTCCTTCCCTGCGCTGTCTGCCTCCTCTCTCCTCGGCGACTGTCTCTCTGTTCGTCACCTTCTCTCCAACCCCCCACCTCTTCGCTGCTCCTTCCTGCTTGCTCCGTCTTCGGTGAATTATTCATCGGCCTGTGTATGTCATTAATCAGGACGAAGATATGATTGGGGGGCCGCTGAGCCGTGGGAGGGGGGGGGGGGGGGGACATATATCTTTTCGAGGCGCTGAACAAGAGCGGGAGGCAGTGAGGAACAACGGATGGGACGGCAAAGAAAAGAGGAGGAGAGAGACCGCGAAGATGAAGATAGAGGAAGAGGAGAGGAACGGGGGCTGAGGAATGTAGGGTGAAGTGTTGATGGAGGAGACTGGAGTGAAATGAAAAACGATCCAAACCACAGAACGGCCTGGTAGGACACGAAAGGGCTGAAAACAGATTGGTTCACATGTAAAACAGACATATAAGCTGACTGGGTTCATTCCCCGTCTTTTGTTTCCTCAGAGGAGGTCGGGGGAAGGGGAGGAGGGTTGATAATGTCGATGCAACTACCAATCCATGTGTGCAAGAGTAGAACTACCCTAAGAGGCAATGGTAAAGGGAAGGATTTTGAGCAAAACCTAGGAAAGAGGTAAAGGGTTTACGGATGAGAAAGGTAAGGTTTTGATCTGGATCTGGACCACTGTGTGTGGTTGGCAGATGGGGGGTGAGCTGATAAAACACAGCTGCGATCCGACCTGCTCGGGGACTGTCCGGGCCAAAGCACTCTCCTCCACTTGTCTTTCTCTTGGGCAGTCGCTCCACCTTCACGAGCACGGATCCCGCCGAAGATCCATCGGCACTCTGAAGGCCTCTGAAGTGCACCGCGAAGAGGGGCCGCCCCTTCCCGTCAATCAGGGACTGATGCAAGCCCACCGGGAGTCGCGCATTGCTCCACATCAAACACATCTCGGCTGCTTACGCAAGCCATTCGCTGACAGCCTTCGGCCGTCGCCATTCCTCCGAGGGTTCGGAGACTTCCGTCAGCGAGCGACGTAGAAATCACAGCTGGTAAGCAAACGTGGGGCGTAAAGCCTAAAACTGACGGCGTGACATTTCTCTTCACGGAGAAGGCCGAGTCTCCGGAGGGGACGCGCAGCCAATCCTGGTTAATCTACAATGAGCCGCAGATATCCGCGCTAATCTGCGTAACGGCGCATTGCACGTCCGAATGCTCCGCCGAGAACCCACGCGCAATACTCAATGCAGACAATACCCTCCGCTGCACGTGATGCGCCTGCCCGGTTTTGTGAAAGGAAGATCCTTGGACCGTAAAATCCAAAACAGAATCAGCGATAACGACAAAAAAAATCCAGCTCAAGATTTTGAAAGATAATACCTTATCTGTATTTTTACGGTTTAAATGACAAGGCATAAAACAACTAAAAAGTGTATGTTTTTGTTTTTGGTGTAAAAGCCTGATTCTTACCAAAATGTGTTAATAAAAATTATCTCTGGAGGTCATTATAATAGAATTCCTTTTGAGTGGGGGATCAGTTCCTCAAAGCAATTCCCCAAATCTTTTAAGTGTCAAGGACCCCCTGTGGGCTTGAAAGGTGTCTATTAAGTTCACAGTTTGCTCCTTCATGAAGTAGAATACGTGGTTTGGATATAATGAGTTTATAGGCAGATGCAGTGGCGTATTCTGCATTCTGATGTTGAACTATTAGGATCTAATGATATAAATAAAGGCTGTTCAAGTGTTTGTACTGAAAGTTGTTGGACCCATCATTCAACATTCAATCATTTGGCCACCATGTAACGATTGGGGATCGATGCTAGCACGCGGATGCTAAACACCAGAGCCTAAAAAAGATGGCCGACGAGCCCGTGTCAGTTACCTGTGTCCAGCTGTCCGATGCGACCTCTCAGCAGGTAGCTGAACTCCTGGCAGCGTGCACTCTGGCTGTAGCCTCTCGGGGAGTTGAAACACAGCTCCTCCACCAGCGCCAGCGCCTTCTTACACAGGTCTTCATCCCAGTCCCCCGACATACTCCAATCCGCATCGCACTCTCACCGGCAGCCAGCCAATGACAGCGCAGCCCCGGCCGCCCTCACCCGTCCTCACCCGTCGGACCGGCGCTGAGGTGGGAAGTTTCTGCTCGTCCACCTCTCGCAAGGCGTGAATTGAGAAAGAGGGGGTTCGGGTGGGGGGAGGGGGAACACGAGGGGCTCTGCGGGGCGCCTTGGTCGGGGGGGGGTTCACACGGAGCAGATCGTAGGGCCCGTGTATGACTGAGCGGCACCCACCCCGCTCGCTTTGCCTGGAGGAGATAAAGGGAGAGGAGAGAGAGCAAAGTGAGGAAAGAAAAGTGTACAAATCATCTCTCTGGCAGGTTGGTCACCTTAGCGATTCAGTGAGAGCACCGACGCCAAAACCATCTACGTGTTCCTGATGGATCATTGGCTGCACTGCTTCATAATATCACTTAAGCATACACACTATGAGTGTGTTACTGGCAACAACTGGCGTTGTGTAAGAAGTGAGAGACTTGCATCTTGTTGCCAGGAGAACTAAGTGATTAAGCCGGACATTGGCAACGGTTTTATTAAAAGGTCACGAAAAACGCAATGAGTGACATTGCGTTTTTCCACACGTAGCTTATCTGTTTTAGATTAGCCTCTTTGCTGATAAAACAGAGAAAGAAACGTGTTGTTGGTATGGGTTTATTTTTTTCTGACCAGTTGGAAAACGTTTGCATGCCTCCCACCTCAGCATGAATTTCTAGATGTTTTGTAGAAATGTCTTTTCAATAAAAGAAACAGTTGAAAGGGCAACGTGTGGATTGTCCTAATTTACAAGCGCCTATTACTGGTGCATTTTTAAAGATCACATTTTCAATGACTTGAGGGCCTCATTCATTTCCATTTACCTCCATTGTAAAGGACCTCCATCTACAGAAGGCCTCTGGGAACATAAAATCACTGTAATACCAGTTAGCTGATGTACTTTAGCCTAGCCGTATGGTAATAATAAAGTATTAAAGGGTTAGGTAAACGTTTACAACGTCGTGCAGTATTGAAATTGTGTATACATGGACACACTTTATAGTTAAAGTCTAATTTGTCATTTTCTCTTCCTTGAATAATTCCATACGCTCACTCACTCGACGTGGTGCATGCTGACAGTAATTGAAAGGAGCCTTACTGTCAATGACATCTCAGGGACACACAATCATTTTAGTGTCTAAAACTGACCAATTTGCCAATAATGCTGAAACTTCCCCTAGTTTTTCGAAGCAAAACACTCTTTACTGTAATTACAGAGTAATTTAGATAATTATGAGGTGTCTTGTGTGGAGTCGCTAAAACACAAATACGGGAAAGAACTACAAACACTGAGTGAGAGTGAGGGAGAGCGAGTAGCGGCTCCTCTTTTATTTTCAAATGTAACGTTTTCTTTGCAATATTTCTTTATTTTTTATCGCTGTGTGAAATTTATTTTGCTTTCAGCGATCTCTACGTTTTCATAAGAGGTCAATGACCAAAAACAAGCAGCAAAAATGAAAATACAGCCAGAGGACGAGGACAGGCGATGTTTTTTCTTACCTTCACTGAATTTGACTTTTGAGGTCAAAGGCCATGTTGAATTTGTGTAAGTGTAAACTTCTCTTTTTCAATTTTCTTATGCACAGTAGTGCACCAGGAGGTTATTTCCCCAACGTTCCAACTGGAGTCGGTCACACACATCCGTTTCCCTGGTCCCTCCGATACATCAGTGCCATATTCGAACCCACTGTCGGCTTTGTGTGGACCCTTTTGAAGGTCTCCAACATCCCCTGAAACACAAAGAGAGTCAATCAGCCAGTGTGGCCAGACACAACCAGATGGAGACAAATAAACTGCAAAGCCCCTCACAGTTCAGAAGAACACCCCCTGAGAAGGAGCTGTAGATGCATTAGGTCTCACTGTGTGTGCTCCTCGTCCTTTCAGCCACCACAAACCAGCCTTCTTTAGCATACTGTCTTTATTTCTGAACTCATTCTGTCTCAATAAAAGCAGGTCAATACCAAAACTCTCAGCTTCTCCCAGGGACCCGGGCTGAGGACACTGTCTGCAAGGTTGTGCCTGATAGTGCGGATTTGTTGCAAATCCCTGGATACTCAACATTTAGACACGAATCTCGTCCAAGTTGTAGTTTGGTTGGAAAATAAACCCTAAGTTTTTGGGAAGAGGTCAGCTGTTTTGTCCTTGTGAAGCAGTGGAGCGGTTTCTGGAGGGAGGCGCTGGTCGCACAGTGGAAGAACTATTCTGATCATCTGATGCGCGTCGGTCTGTGAGACGTCAGCGTCAATCTTTCAAGCGTCTCCGTAGCAAAGCGTTCCCCGTGTGTCCATCTTCCTCCCGCCAATCAATCATTAGGAAAAGACATAATTCCCTCTGAGCGTGTTCCAAAACAAGAAACGCTTCCGCTCCCTTCAGAGCTTTCTCTTTCCCTCTCTTTTTTTTTTGCCCTGAGCTCCTGCGTCTCGTTCGACAGGTTGACTGTCACACTGGGACAGTGTGTCAGTCTAAAGAACACAGATTAGGAAGAGCGCATGTATCTGTCCATCGCCCCTCAGCCGGTTCCACAAATGAATCAGAAATTAGCTAATCCAAAAGCCATCAAGGCCTTAAGTCCTCCACCAGCTCGCCCTTCAACCCCCCGCATCAAGATAGTAAACCTGCCTGATTGACTTTGAAACCCAGGATGTCTCAATCTGAGGAACGGTTCTCTGGCACAAAACCGCCTGCCACAAACGCCAGTGACAGCATCGGGAGGGAGAAATGGAGGAGACGGACAGACAGCGAGAGAACGACTGTGTGGCAGGACGGAGGAAGCGGGAGGCGGAGGGGGAGGGACGCGAGAGATACCGCCGTTAAATTGGTGGCGAGACAGATAACGAGGGAGGAGAAAAAACAGGCGCAGAGAAGGGCAGAAAAGGGGTGACACAGCAACAACGGTCGGTTTTCTGGTTCGCAAACCACAAAACGGGCAAAACGTTCTACGGCGGCCCGGCTGCTGACGTATAGACATGCTTCAGAAACATCTCGAGGAATCATTCCACTCATACGGCATCAATACTCACCCCCCCAACGCAGACCAGTGGACCAATGAGGCCACCGTCCGATCGGGCGAAGGAGACGGGACGGCGTGCAAGGTCACAGCCTAATCAGCACACGCAGATAATGTCCCACTGACAACCGATAGAAGGAGGCGAACGCGGGGAGGTCAGCGCTCGATCGCGGGATAAGCCGGCCAGTTAGATGACACGATGGGTCCCGCGGGGGAAGAAGAGGCCGGTTGGACCCCGGAATGATAGGAGCGAACGCCCCCGTCTGCCTCGACGGATACAAATCCAAATTCAAGAGTAATTCAGAGGCTGCGAGTTCGACCCTGCACAGGTGTCCTTGAGCTAGACACTTGGCCTCTGGCCGGCCGGCGCTGTTAATCACTACAGATAAGAGAGCATCAGCTAAACGTTTCTTTTTTATCCTCCATCTAGCTCACAGGCATGTGGCAGCCATTTATATCTGTATGCGTTTATGATGAAGGGGTCATTCCTGTTTTTGCACTGGAAGGGAAGATATGGAGCCGCCCTCCGGTTCACAGGCAGCCGAGAAAGAAAAATTCAACAACCGCAAAACAATGGAAGGTACGGAAGCACATCCCAAATGTGAGGATGAAGTCCACGCAGTTTTACCATTTCCTGTTGAACATCGACCTCACATCTTGCGCCTTTTTTTCCGTAGTTGTGTTGGATTTCCAATTTTTTTCCGCGATTCCATTTATTTTCTTAAAAAAGAAAACAAACAAACAACAACTAAAATAATCCTTGAGGTGGACAAACGTGAATTCGATAAAACGCAGGGGCCCGGTTCTTTGGTGACACGGATCAACTGGAGCCGGTGCGTGCGATCTGTCTCTGAGGGATGAATCAAACACCTCAGATGGGTTTGGGAATTACAGTGATAAGGCGAAGCGAAACACTGCTGTCGCCTGAATACGAAGCAGAAGTCATTCGGATGATCACTATAAACCCGCGATCTATTGCGGCCCCATTTCATCCGTCAGGGTTTTATTTTCAAGTCAAAATCTGTGTGTATTTCAATTTAATTAAACATGTGAAACAGGAATATGCTGTGATTTAAGCTTTTCCAGCATAGAGGCAGCTCCATTAACATCATTAGTCTCAGTGAGACAGTAGCAGTACCTGGAGATTCCCCAAAATTACATTTTAGCATTCACCTTACAGTCATGCAGGTCATTACGAGCCTATCGTTATTTGTTTGATAAAAGTCTCTTACTAATAAAAATGACCGTTTCACATTTTATTATTTTCGGGGGGGGAAAAAAACGAACACCTTCATAATTGCAAAATTGAGCCGAGAACAGTCAGAGCTGTTTTTGTATGAGAACACAATGGTTGTGTTGACAATAGAGACTAATCCGTCGGTTATGCCTAATGGGATGTTTCAGTTGGAGCTCATTGGGCAAGTCTTCCTATCTGCTGCCACTCTCTCTGTCTGTTGCTTTTTTAACCCGGAAGTCATCTTTCACTGAAACTCTCATCCTTTGCTTTCATTATCGGTATCTCTTTGTTTTAACGTCGTGTTAAAGCAAACTCCACACTTGCACTTTGCACACATTTTTTGCATGGCACAGTATTTTTTCCTAAATACCGTGTCTTTTCCAGGCTGTTATGCTCCACAGACTCCTGTTGTTCCAGACTTTGATGCTGCCTGCTCTGCCGTACCCTGCTGGGCCGTATCATGTTGGTTAACACCTCGAATCAATCCGTGTACCCTCAGATCATCCGTGATCTGTCAGCGCTATCCCTGATTCATAGAGGTCGCGACCTCTCTCCACCGAATGCTAGAATATCCTCCCTTTTTGTCTCGCATCACTGCCTTTCGAGGCCACAGTAATGTCTGCCTGAGACAATGCTATCATCGCTCCTTTCTGCTTCCTCGGCCGTGACGGATTGATGCACAGCGGTAAACCGATACAACACATCTTTTTGGTTACTCCAGTGTGGCGCTGCTGTGTTTCGCCGGCACAGAGACGGACACGATTGAGCGTGAGGATATTAATGTCTGTACACTAGACGTAATGGCTTTGCCGAGCCTCCGCTTTGAGGTTGTTCCTATAATAGCTCCTCGACACCCTTTCAGCAAATGAGTAACATGAGGTGGGAGAGAGGCCTCGATATCCGCTCCGCTCTGTGTACTGTTTATCTCCATAAAAATGCAGTCAAACGGCGGTCCACGTTTGATCCCGTCTCCGCCGATTTCTGTGCCACATTCTCGCGTATCAAGTATCAGGTTCGCTGTTCCCACTTTTCCGGCGCTCGGGGCGTGCTGGAGCTGCAAGTGTCTGAGTAGTAAATAGCGTGGGGCAGGAAATAGAGAGCAAGTGACCAGCCAAGAACCCTGGGATATTGGTCCTGCTCTTCCTGTCTCTTGCACAGCCGGTGGAGCTGCAGAGGGACCCGTTTACAGATAGGGGGCGTAATCACACACACGCACACACACACACACACACACACACACACACACGGAGCAGGCCGTCCTCACTTCATTTCTTACCAACCGAGTCGGTGACTCAGTGTGTGTCCCGGTGGTTGTTGTGTGTTTGACCATTTGCATAAACATCATCACAGCAGCTGTCCCTTTAGTGGGAGGGAGGTGGGGGGGGGGGGGGGGGGGGGGGGGGGGGATACGCGCGTCAACCTGTCTTCGGTGTGTGTTTTCCGCGTGCTCGTGCGCGCACCCCCGCTGTCCGTTCGTCTTTTATCCAAAGTTAAACCATCTTCATCTGCGAGGACAGCTGCCATTGACACAGTGATGCTGGTGTATGCTGTATATGCTGCACGGGGCTGGTGAGACAATGACTGTCAAATTGTCTCACCACGTCTACATGTTCAAAGCCTTTGATATATATAAATATATATATAAATACATATATATACCTGCCAATGCAGAATGCAGTGATGAAGAGCTTGGCTGATGCACAAATAACATGCATTTAATATGAATGGCAAACAGACACATGCTGCTGGATGAAAGCAGGTATGAACGTACATTCCGTGCACATCACAGACCCACAGCGAGGCCGGTTCCGAGGCCGGTTCCGAGGCCGGTTCCGGTGGTGACCAAAGGGGAAAACGCTCCTACCTTTCGCGCTGCAGGAGCCGCCGTGTCTCTGTGTCCGACGTGGGATTTACGAGCGTCTCCGCTCTTTTAGTCAGATGCGTCGCTTGTAAAGGGGCATTCCGCCCTGCTCGGCTGTGCCGCTTCCCCCCCACCTCCCACCTCCCCCCCCCCTCCCTCCTCCCTCCTCCCTCCTCCTCTCGTCTCTCCTCCCGGAGACGCGCCGAGCAAAAAAAAAAAAGCGATGGCACGGTGGAAGAGAGGAATGAACGATTCGACGTCTCTTCCTTCCCGTTTCCCGTGTTCTTCTCTTATTACCCCCCCCCCTCCTCCTCCTCCTTGAGCCTTTTCCTTCTCTCTATTTCCCGACCCCCTCCCTCTCTCCCCCTCTCTCTCTCTCTCTCCCTCGCTCCCTTTCCCCTCCCTGTGCTCTGAATACTAATACTCTGTCTCTCTCTCTCTCACTGCCTGTATAGACCGACCAGGCTAAAGACACACTGATGTATGCGGGTCGTGTTGATGGAAAGTCATGGGGAGAGATGCTGCCTGTGTGTGTGTGTGTGGTTTGGAGGAGGGGGGGGGGGGGGCTCTGGGACGGTATAGGGCCACTTCCCGCCCAGAGGGCACATGGAAGGGCCCAGGACCTTCAGTGTGAGAGCTGTGATTAGATAATAATACTCCTGCATATGCCACTGGGAGCGTGCTGGTGGTTCTCCTCTTTATGAACGCATCCCTGGGATGAGAGGCGGTGGCGGTGAGGAGTGGGAGGAGGTGGGAGGAGGTGGGGAGGGGGGTGCGGAGGTGTTGCTTGGATGTCAGGCGGTGGAGAGCAGAGATGGAATAGAGGGCCAGTGTTCGGCTCTGAGCCAAAAAAAAGGACATGACTCTTAGCCTGGTTGTGTGTGTGTGTGTGTGTGTGTGTGTGTGTGTGTGTGTGTGTGTGTGTGTGTGTGTGTGTGTGTGTGTGTGTGTGTGCGCCTTAGAAGCATCAAGGAGAGGAGCAGCTGAGGTGTACAGAGTCCTTAGAATGAGACATTTTTATTGGAGCCAGAATTAAATTAGGATATTCCGGAAGCATCGAATGAGCAGAGAGGGGGAGCATAAAAAATGTTTGTGTTTTATGGAAACGGCCAGACGATGAGGACCCTTCGCTGTTGAATGGGAATATGTTTTGACATTGTATTAAAATGTTTTCAAAGTGGGCTCCCTCGGGGTGGCCTTTCGGGGTCCGGGACTCCAAGCCCAACAAAATAAAGAAAACTGTTATTCAATGATTACGGGTTCACACCCATAATCTAATCGATTCTGTCAGACAAAAACAATTAGTCAGACACATCCTCTCTGAGTTTGGCTTTTGGACACAGACAGCAGTGTCCGTCCAGCCAAACCTCCTGTCTTATGTGGACTCGGTTACTCCAGCTTACCTGCAGCCACACGGATCGTCACGCTGCCGCGTCTGTGCATCCTCCTTGGGGTGAGCTAACAGGGCCGCTGCATTAGGGCTGAGAAAGTTACAGCTCTACCTGTAAGTTCAGGTTATTGCTCTTTTTCATTGCATATGGGAGTGCTTCCAACATATATAAAAATGGGGAAAAAAAGAAGCCTGTGCTTTTGACTCGTGTTCTCCATGTTATGAGCTTTGCACTACCGTCAATCACTGATGGCATTTCCTCATTTTTTTCCAACCACCGCACGTTCGGATGTTCACCTGGACAGGAAAATAGAGTTTGTGGTTATGTGGTTAAACGGGAAGCTTGAGGAAGTAAGTCTATCTACTGCACGTCAAGGCACCTTCATATTTTAAGACAGCACATGAATTAATCGTTCTCACAGTCTGTGCCCAGACAACACCTAATGGGCCACACGGCACAAAGAACATCCAGGTCCCATCCTAAATATATAATATATTACAGTACTCATTACCATTCATTCATAAAAATGCGAATTACAGGCATTAGAATGGCAAATTATAATGGAGGGGCACTTCAATTACCTCAGTTTGAGTGAACCTCAATTTGATCTTGTGCTTTTTATTATGATAAAGAGGAGCAAAGATCAAGAAAGAGGTTTAGAAAAACATTTATAATCCTCATTAAGAGACTAATGTCCCTGCTGAGAATTACCTAACAAATACATATATATAATATATCTAGAGCCCCTTACCCGATGTGTTATCCTGCCACATAATAATTTATTATTATTACTATTGTTATTATTATTATTATTATCATTAACAGCATTGCTGATGACTTGACAAAAAATAATTACATCCTGTCAGTCACCAAATTTTTGCAGGACAGATGTCAGATATTATAATAGGCTTTAAAAATCCTGGCGAAGCGACTTAGCACGTCATAATTATTTGCCATTGTCTCGGTCATTGTTCTGGTAACAGCGTTAGTACAAGAAGGGTGGAGGGTGGAAAAACAGCTATGTTTGGAACCCTGCGGCTGCCGATGATTGACTGATAAATGAGAGCAAACAGTGACCTCTGTTAACTGTCACAGCGGAGCACGGCGGAAAAGCTGAGACACATAACTGAAGAGGACGGGGACGTGCAGTGAGGGAATCGGGATACAAACAGAGAGAATAGAGAGGAAAAAGTTAAACAAATGGGAGATTTTTTTTTAATGTGCATTTCTACACGTTCAGACATTTTATAGAAAGTGGACCGAGAGATGCCTCAGGGGGGAAAAGAACCCACACAGAGAGACTTAGAGTAACGAAGACCACGGTGTTAATTTGACAAGGCGAAAACAAATCCAAAATGCTTGCTATGTTTCGATGGAAAACAAAGTGCCAAAGCGTCGGAGAAGGACCGAGGAAAAGGAGGCCAGCTTCTCCTCCAATGCGTCACATTGACAACACGACATATTTTCGCGGGTTTCATTTTCCACTCGGTCTGCAGAAATGTCGGTGATAAACGGAGGTTTGACACGTTCAGATTAAACGGGATATTGAATGGTTTGTTGCACCTCCAGAGCCGGCGCCGTGTGGACACCACATAAACATCCACAAGGACCTCAGACGGGCTCCTGAAGTAAAGTGGGATCCTGGGAGAGCAGGTCTCACTTGCTGTAGGACCTCTCCTGTGTCCTCATCTTCCTCCTCTGGAGCAACAGACGCATTAAAGCCAAAACACAGGAGAAGCACAACGTGACTTGTCGGGGTAACTGTGGTCAACAAGACGTGTGAGTCCCCGTAGTGTTGTATTCCTCGATGCACCGCAGGGTTTGTAACACGAAACCATGCGACAAGCTGCAGAAACTATTTGGAACACGCCGGCTCTTTCAATGAGTCATTTGCCGAATAAGAGAGAAAACATTCTGAACTACGGGATGCAGATCTGTCCGGCTCCTTTTGTTTGCATGAATGTGAATAAAGGATAAAGGATAATTATATTTTGAGGGATGTATTCTAATATTATTTTTTCCTAATACATTTTTTTGAAAAAACTAAACAGAATTGAGAGGAGGACGAACACTGTTTTTTTCTTTGTATTTTTTATAGAAGATCTCCTCATTTTTAATAATGGATTCACTGCCTTACGGGCTAAATTTAAAAAACTGGTTAGGCTTTTCTGCTGGGATTCATCCCAGATCAGTTGCCCTAGTTTCTAAAAGCGTAACCCATAATCACAATGCTTGCCTTCAGTTTAGTTGCACAGGGAGTTAATGTTGTAGGTAAAGATCCTTGACGGCTCAAGCGGACACCTGTCGCTATCTCATAGGAGCTTTCAGATTTTATTTTGAAGAAGGAAAAGGCCGCTTGCTTTTCAGGCTTTTTAGAGGAAGCTACGTCGCAATGACCGAGCCGCCCAGAGAGCACAGACAGACGACGGCCACATGACATCTTAACCCAAGCTCATGGAGAGAAACCTCAGTGACAGAAGTCAGCTGAGAGCACAACGTGGTGATAAAGTAGTATGCACTTTGCGGGGCGCTGCACTACGTACCAAAAGTTACAAAATAAAAGGTGTGTGGTTTGCAACACAGCCTGGTCTTCCACCAAAAGACGAGAAAAGGTGTCCCTCCTGGGAAAGGAAAGACACAGGAGACAGACAAAGACATCACCTAGAAAGCAACGTCTCTGTGTGTCTTCTCTGTCTTGTCTTGCCAGTGGGGACGGACAGTAAAACATCTCACCAGGTTTCACTTCCACAGCAGCACCAACAAAACACAACAAAGAATCCTGAAAAGTCCTGCGGCGAAACAATGGCAGACGGTGCCGTCCAGCAAAGCTGTGGTCATACTTTCTGTTCATTCAGTTGTTGCCATTCACCGAAACATTATTGTTGACTCAGAACCGCACAAAAAAAGACAGACGATGAAGGCTGTAAATGGGCGGATCAGCTGTGTTTGGATGCAGTTGAGGCTTTTCGGGGTTCCTCTCAACAGGAGGTTAACGGACAAAAAGGAGGCAGGTTATTACAAGTCTAACATTCTTGTTAATATCATGTAATCTCTAAGGTGCGGTGTTGTTTTTAAGGATTGCGTAATTTTGCATGTGAGAGTTATTGCATCTCCCCCAATAGTTTATAAAATAAAATAAATGCTGAGTATGAGTCTATCAGATACGATATTTCCGTAATAGACCAACACAAAAGCACCAATAAACAGGTCTGAAGAAATAAACCATCTTTAACCTATAACTGCCTGTCCCATCTAGTGCGGCCTGCACTTGGTGCATTCCGAATGGCCACTTCCTGTAGTTCTGAGGAGAAATGAGGAGAAAATAATGAATTATGTATGGCGAAAAGTGTGTGTGAAGGCAACGTATCAAGCATCTGTTCACAGGGTCGTTCTATTTAATGAAATAAATATGAAAGAGCCTGGTGCAGTACGATTAGCATCATATAAATCAACTGTGTGGCTGCAGCGTAGACTGCACGGGCAGCACAAGTTGCCTTCGCAGGGACCTTGAAGACCAGCGCAGAATCAGGACGGAGGAATTCTGCTCACACTATCTTTGTATAAGTTTAAATATTTCGGCTGGATCTACTAATTAAAGCACAAAAAGCAGCGTACTTTATAACTGAGACTGTTGATTATTTAATGAAAAAATGTTTCCCATGAGAGGTGATTTACTGTACTTCAGCTTCAGATTATTGTTAATTGAATTTGTTAAAGTTTAAAACTTCACTGGGCAACGTAACTTTTAAATTAGTTTCCAGCACAC